ATGTATGATAAAAGGAATCGAATTAGTGATAGCAAATAGTGTCGATACATATTGCCATAGCGGGCAACGAAACGAAACTATGCGACTTTATATATTCTATTTTGCCCTGTCAGACCTTTTGCATATTCGCTTAAAAACAACTATTGTCACACAAACGCCATATATACAAGTGTGAATGGCCAACAGTTCCCTGGTACGTCAAGTATTGTGTACTTATCATATTAGGAGTCATAAAAATAGTTTAATGCCCATCCCCATGTGTGCACGTTATGGAATGTAGTCATACTAAACCTTACCACACAATCACAAATCCTTAGACCTATATAGTTTCCTACCGTCACCATGGAAACTACCAAAGAGGTATTTTATGGCTACATCGTAACTACAACGTTATGACACAACCATAATAAATTCATCATTGAAAATCAATGTCAACGTGTGCCAGCTTCGAGAGAAGACGTGACCCCCAGCGTGCAGCAGTTAGACAAGGACTATACACAGGGGAACATGTAACGTACTTCAGTGGGGCAATGTGTGCCAGCTTCGTGAGAAGACGTGACCCCCAGCGTGCAGCAGTTAGACAAGGACTATACACAGGGGAACATGTAACGTACTTCAGTGGGGCAATGTGTGCCAGCTTCGTGAGAAGACGTGACCCCCAGCGTGCAGCAGTTAGACAAGGACTATACACAGGGGAACATGTAACGTACTTCAGTGGGGCAATGTGTGCTTTGATCCGACTATACGTTGATCGTTAAAGACGCTTTTTGACATAGGTCTTGAGATTTAGCACACGAAGTAACATTACATATAGAATTGTATAGGGCAGAATTCCTAACCTGTCTGAGGCATGTAAGAAATGTATTGCTGGAAATTAAACTTCTATATGATGCAATATCGCCTTCGATTCTGTATAAAATATTCATGGCCAGTGACAAAATTGATTGTTTTTTTAGAGTTTACAAACAAAGGCAGAGATAACACCTGAACATTCCTTGAATCTTATAGATATATTTCAGAAAGGTATTATGTCTTTACTTTACAGAAATAACATGGTTATCCCTGGTTTTTATAAGAGCCGTAATTTGATAATTTCAAATTCTTAATCAGCAGGGTGAGAAAGACGTTAAGTATCTTCCGTTCTAAGAAATGCATTCAGTACAAACGTAAAGCTTTCAGGGTTGTTTTCATTTGTCATCATCTTGTTTTGGTAAAGATAAATATAGAACATACTTGTTTTAATCGTACATACTTTGGATGACTCGTTATTTCTGTAGAATTGTCATTTTTAAACTGTTGGATTAGGTAATTTTGAGTAACTGTTGTTTCTAAACTTCTGATGTGTCCATAGCACATCTCTATGCTAGCTATAAGCTGCATCATATACAGTGCAATCAGTTATGTTGGGTACAGTTATATCGGACGATTGAGGCATTTTCCAATTTCTCATAGCTCTTTGTTGTCTGGTTAATATGGAAATAACATTTCATAGCTTTAAATCAAACTTTCTGGGTTTAGCTCTAAATGCTTGTTATATATAGTAAATAACCAAGAACCTTTGTCCAGTGCAAATATAAAGCTTTATATATTTATTAGGGATGTGAACGCTGTATTGTCTTTAAACAATGTACTAAAATAGCGTTTTTAAATGAAACACCTAATACAAACAAAATTCATGTAAGTATTTTAAAAGTGTAACAACGAGAACGCCCTTGAGGTGTTTATAACTAATCACATAAACACATAAAAGTTAAAGGTGTCCCAAATGAAAACACTTAACAGTGAGTGAAATATGTGACATTTATTATTATAACATTAAGATAGCTGTTAAGATAACGGTTCATATTTCATGCAGTCGTCTTCAAACACATATATGTGTACAGCTGATGATAGCAACACAATACATGTGTAATCATATCTTTTACTTCCGAAGATTTAAGATGACATCAACACTTATGATGAGCATGAAATATATCAGGTACACGATTAAACTTTTACAGTTTGTTGTTTAACGCCTCACACAACAGTAGACCTGCTATAATGACGTCGGTTTGTATATAGTATCGATTCTGGACCAGACAACCCAGTGATTGCTTGAGATATATATATACGCCCCGTGCTGTCGGGATACGATGACACAATCTACGGCGCTTTATCTCCACTTCATGTCCAGACCCATATAGTCGTTTCTTACGACGAGCACTGGTCTTTTTAGGAAATATATCAACTTGAAATATATTTTAAAGAGGCTATGAATTTCAGCATTTCGCTACAATAAGAGGGAGATATGTTTTTCTTCGTACAGCTACTTCTTGCAAGAAAATTGCTGACTATATTTTACACACGTTTCAATGAAGCGTGTGTGAGTATGGTTTACTCAGCTTGTAGCACCAGCAATATTACTATCAATATTCACACATTGTACCTATGAGTATGTGGGCCATTGAACCCGGTCCTTCGGCGTCATAAGTGAACGCTTTAACCACTGACTAATATGGAAATTATAGGTAGAGTAACTTTCCTGAAATATACAACCGTATCTTATAAAATATGATTTCTAGGTGCGGTTATTCATATATACAAAGCAACAGACGTTATTGTGACACCATTCAGTTGTGCAAATTGCACTAACACTATATTTGGGATTGAAATCCCGTATATATAGTATGGATGACACGGTGTGCATGACTAAACACATCCACAGTTTTGTGTGAAAATTGTGGACATTTGAATTAAGTCCGGAGTATTAATAAACCCAACCTGCTACATGGACATTTTGACATTTAACCACCATCAACTCTTTCACAGCAGTTAAAAGTGGTGCAGGCAACGAGAGGTTTCAAATGCGACCCGGTGTGTGTGGTGCGCGCGTGCGTGCGTGCGTGCGTGCGTGCGTGTGTGTGTGTGTGTATGTGTGTGTGTGTGCGAGCGTGCGTGGTGGAGAAGGAAATTATTAATGTCGTGCGTTACCGAGATGAGACTTTTTAGACTGTCGCCCTTCCAGACAACTTGTGCTGTTTCAACACGACAACGCCCGTAAATCAACATTCGCACAGCAACATTTGCAATCCCATCCTCGGATAAAAAATATGCGTATTTGCTCATAGTTTCTCAAAAATCAAAGTTATTGGTACAGTCAAATTTAGACGCAGAATTTTACAGTAATATCACGAAAAATGGCGATAAATGGTCGCTTCCCATTGTAAGAACGATGCTTGAGTTTAAACGTGAGTCGATTCTGTTTCAAGAGTATAGCTCTCACAATGTTATGTATAATTGCTTTATATGAGGATTTGTGCAAATATCACAGTATAGTACTTTAACGTATACATCAAACTAGTAAGATGCCAACTACAGCTGGGTAATTGTATCCCATTCACTTCACCTTCACCGCATCAGATGGCATCTATACGATGGTCGTCAGAATACATGCAGTAAAGTCCAAAAGGGACTGTTTCGATATTTTGGCTTTGTTTAAAACATAATTATACTGATGCCAATTCTAGCGCGTTAAATCGATATTGAAATTGGGAAATTTGTACTGGCTGGAAAGAATTTATACTCAACCCGGGATAACAGGATAGTGTTCTCGCCACTGTGTGGCAAGTGACCAGTGATTGACCATTTTTTTACTTCCGAATTCATCACCCATATACAATATTGAAAATAAACATTGTAGAATGTTGAGAACTGTTGAACGTTTGTACTGTAAATTCACTATTATAACAGGGTGTGGTATAGCCAAAACAAGATCAGTTAAAAGAAATCCTGATCAATTAATTGATCTTGAAGGTCACGTGACTAGACATGGACTGTTTTATATACATTGACCCACTTGCAGTACGAACACTAAATTGTTTATATACATTGAACCAATCGCAGTGAGAACACTTGTTTTATACATTGAACCAATCGCAGTGAGAACACTTGTTTTATACATTGAACCAATCGCAGTGAGAACACTTGTTTTATACATTGAACCAATCGCAGTGCGAACACTTGTTTCATACACTGAACCAATCGCAGTGCGAACACTAATTGTGTTTTATATGTACATTGACGAGCACTAATTATAATGAATTGTTTTATACACCGACTCGCGCGTGGTGTGAACATTTATTTCAATACAAAATTATGGACAGAAGTATTAGTATAATTAGAGATGCATACGCTCAGATAACAAAATGTTTGTGTGTGTTTTTATACGGAGGAATATGGCTTCATGAAGAAATCGTTTCTTAACGTTGGTTGTTTGTTTGTTGTTTAACGCCGTGCTCAGCAATATTCCAGCTATATGACGGCGGTCTGTAAATAATCGAGTCTAGACCAGACAATCCAGTGGCTGACATCATGAGCATTTGGGATACAATGACATGCATAAACCAATTCAACGGGTCCGTCCACCCGATCCCGTTAGTCGCCTCTTGCGACAAGCATGGGATGCTGAAGACCAATTTTAACCCGGATCTTCACGGGAATTATGTTTAAAAGACATGTATATATTAGAAGTGACGTAAAATTAAACTCACTTACCCCAGTCATTAGGATAGTGAATGGTGTAACTCTCATCCTGTGCTCGTCTGCTCGTTGACTATTACTTTTAAAAAAACAAACAACATTTTTACAGTTTTAGAATTACAGTTTTAGAATCCCGCAATGAACTGTTCATAGAAAATACAATTGACTTCTGCCTTATACGAGTTCCTAATCTTGAAATACATGTAAGTTCATGAATATATCTTGGGTTGTAACAGCAAACTATTAAAGCTAGCTAGAGGTTTGGATAGTGTCTGGAAACCAGGGGAGGTTGATAAATGATGTGCGTGCTGAATTATAAAAGACCACGACACATTTTAGCTTTGGTGCTGCCATGATACTGTATGGGTAAAGTGGACATTTACATAATTAATGTGAACATATTGGTGCAAATCCCGAGTCTATGACGTCACGCTCGACTGCCCAGTGCGCGAAATTCGGAACTCTCCAATGCGAGAGGAAGAGAAGCGGATTTGTTATGGTCTGCGAGTCACAAACTGTGTGTAGTGAAATGGTCCTGCCTACCCCCTTCCACTCAATATGGATACGCTCTAGCTCGGTCTAGCATGGATGTACTTCCAAGACAAGAGTCGGGGTAAGTAGGTGGGTCTAATTGTCGTCGCCTGTCGTTGCAATGAGCTACAGTTGCCGGCAGTGAGTTGGTGACTGTCGCGAAATTATGTTTCGCGATGTGACCCAGATCTTACGTCGTCAGCGTTGAATTCGCCTCCCAAATCGATATTTGTGAGTTGGGAGAAACGTTTGAAAGATTACACTCAGCAATGTTTGTGTTTGTTGTGTATAGCCTATCATCATATCTCATGCTTCAGAGGAAAGTGCTGCGTTTCCGTCGAGGAATTTCCCTTTTCATGGAGATGGGAATGTGCGTGAACTGCATAGCTAAGCGACATCGACAGTCGTGGAGCTGCAGTTGTTGATCAGCTGTTGTCCTAGTGTTGTGACAGTGAATGTACCATCACCCCACATAGGTGGCTGTTTCAGCTTCCATCCACCCCTGCACAAACAATCTGCGTTTGCAATTAAACACCTTCCCATGTTTTCACCACACTCAAAATAGACCAGTGGAATGTAGACATGCAGACTGAAGAAGATACCTCTCTTTCACTGGCATACACAATAATAATACTAGCATTTGTTGTGTATTCACAAACTTGCCTTAACTTTATGATATAAACACAAGTGATGTCACGAATTGTACTTGCCGTGTTATGAGGGGAGACCGCACACAAGACAATACATAACAGTTATAGCTTATCAGGAGCATTTGTTCCGCATGAATGACTTTACCATTCTAGCAATCAGCTGGAGCAATCAGCTGGTTGTGAGGTAGAGATGATAAGATTGTAACAAGTCCTAAGCCTTGCTTGATTTCAGTTTTGAGTAATTGGTTACATGGTATTAGGTGAGGTTCTGTAAATGATTTGTAAGAAGTTCTCATTGTATGAAATTATTTAACATGTTACATGGTCAATCAAGGATTCCTTGTCAGTGAGATCAGAGGCGGATACAGCTTTTTTGAAAAGGGGGAGTGCACAACTAAGATCTATTTATTGTCTTTGGTGGTAATTTATACAGAAATAAAGATATTTTTCGAAATAAAGAGGGGGGGGGGGGGGTTGCGCACCCCCGCACCCCCCTCTGTATCCGCCCATGGAGATCATCATTAATGTCAATTGTGGTCTATGATGATTCAGTTCACAGTGTTGTGAATTCCTTATTATTTTGACTAATGCAGTGTTTTAAATTAAGCACGAATGTCCAGGTTACCTACACTTAGTATTAAAGTTAAAGATTAAAGTGCTTCCTGGATTCCAATACTATTCCAGGAGCAAACCACAAGGACCCCAGACAGGAACCCCCTTAATTTCTGATACTGTAATCCTGGTAATGGTAATGGTTCCCCCACAATACACATATTTCTGGAGGGTCATGGACATTTTATAATAAACTATATCATTGTATATAGTGCCTTAGCATTTTGTCTTTTTCAGGGAAGGTCATGAAAAAATGTACAAGGACATGGGGAGGGTCATCCAATTATATTGCTTTAGGGGAGGGTCAATATGTTTAGTACATTTGTGCATCAAACACTTCTGACCCAGCAACCCTGTGAAAAAAATGACGAGCCCTAATATATAATAGAAAGGAACCAAGAGAATCTCATCGTTTTCCTGACACTGAAAAGATCTAGACTTGGCGAAGTTTTGTAGACTTGCTTGGAAGTTTTCAGATATTTCTGGTTCAGGGCCTGTAGGAAAAACTTTTGTAAAAGTGGTAGTCCACAAGGAAATGTCACTGGACCTTTCTAAATTTTACAAGTCTTACTAGCAGAGTTTTGTTGATTTGGATCCTTGGTTCACCGTTGTGAATTGTAATTTGTCACTGTGTGTAATGTGTAGTGATTCCAAGCTGGAATATAGGAAGTGTCACCAGTGTGTGTAACAGGACTAAATACAGGATTGAGAACACCATAAGACAGTGTAGGGAATCAATCAATATGTCAAGCTCTCATCACTGTGGCAAGTGACCAATGACTGGTCATTGTTTGACTCTGGAATCCATCACCCATATACAGTATTGCTAAGTCCAGTCTTGTAGCAGCTAGCATCAGCGGTAGTCCAGTCTTGTAGCGGCTAGCATCAGTGGTAGTCCAGTCTTGTAGCAGCTAGCATCAGTGGTAGTCCAGTCTTGTAGCAGCTAGCATCAGTGGTAGTCCAGTCTTGTAGTCACTAGCATCAGTGGTAGTCCAGTCTTGTAGCAGCTAGCATCAGTGGTAGTCCAGTCTTGTAGCAGCTAGCATCAGTGGTAGTCCAGTCTTGTAGTCACTAGCATCAGTGGTAGTCCAGTCTTGTAGCAGCTAGCATCAGTGGTAGTCCAGTCTTGTAGCAGCTAGCATCAGTGGTAGTCCAGTCTTGTAGCAGCTAGCATCAGTGGTAGTCCAGTCTTGTAGCAGCTAGCATCAGTGGTAGTCCAGTCTTGTAGCAGCTAGCATCAGTGGTAGTCCAGTCTTGTAGCAGCTAGCATCAGTGGTAGTCCAGTCTTGTAGCAGCTAGCATCAGTGGTAGTCCAGTCTTGTAGCAGCTAGCATCAGTGGTAGTCCAGTCTTGTAGCAGCTAGCATCAGTGGTAGTCCAGTCTTGTAGCAGCTAGCATCAGTGGTAGTCCAGTCTTGTAGCAGCTAGCATCAGTGGTAGTCCAGTCTTGTAGCAGCTAGCATCAGTGGTAGTCCAGTCTTGTAGCAGCTAGCATCAGTGGTAGTCCAGTCTTGTAGCAGCTAGCATCAGTGGTAGTCCAGTCTTGTAGCAGCTAGCATCATAGGAGACTGGTGCAGTGTTGTCATTACAATTTCAAATTTTTTTCCCAACCACGAGGAAAGAAAGAGTTGGCAATGTGGGTTACACTTAGTCACAATATTTGTGAAACGTTACAGTTGTGTATTCAATAATCTTTTAATGACAAATTTACACTATACATAGCTGTTTGGATTAGAGGCTGGTCACATGATCACAAAACTGATGTTCATTCTGTATTCCTGGGTAAGCCCCTGGGAATTCCCAAGCATGAATAAATACAAAAGCATTGTTTCTGATCATTTTGACATTGTAATCTTGAGCTCAGCATTTTCACATATAGTGGAAAGAGTCAGAGTGTTTAACTGCTGGCTTGTGAGCGAATATCCTTGCTACGACCCATCCTAGTGGACAAAAGGAATAAATGCACGTCCAAACTATGGACGGTAACAGTCATCAACATTCTACATCAATGTAGAACTTACTTCAGCCTGTTCAGTATCTATTGGCACATCTTTATGATCACTTCTGAATGACCAGCAAAAGGATCAGGGATGACTGACACATAATCACCACATGTTCATTGACAACACTAGAAATGTCCCCCGTCACTATCCTCATTGTGATGTCCAGTATTTGAAGTACCGTATTCTACATAATAAGCTATCAGGGCGCTCTCAAAATTAGAAATGGGGGTGTTGTTATTAGATTATTAGTTTGGTGAAAAAAACAGTTGAAAGATTATTAATTTTGTGGTTTTGATAATAGCCAGAAATGTTTATATACGACAGATATATTTTTCCAGAATGTAATTGCCCATAATTAAGGGCGCATATAACACATGAGTGCATATTATACACAAATAAATTTAAGTCTTGTGTACATTGTTCAATCGGAAGGGGTGCTAATTGGGATTGTTCACTTGCCAATATATTAGCAAATATTGCTGTGGGCGCTTATTAGAGCGGGCGCTTATGATGTCGAATATGGTAAGTGTATTATGACGCTCTGTCTCCATGACTGAGTTATATGTAGTTCTTTTCAGACTTTCCTCATCTAATGACAATGTTTTTTACTTGTATTTGATGCAACCAAACTACCAAACATTTTGCTGTGGAACAATATGAAAATACATATGCTCATGTCATCTGGTGTTCTAACAGTTTGGCCCTCACTCTATGAAGGTTGATACTGCAATGAACTGACACAGAGTGAAAGTCAATTCTTACATAAGAATGTTCTAGTGAGATTATTGCAAGGTATTATTTAGAAACAAATGAGTTCAGCAGTTTCATGTTTGTAAATATAATGAAAAAACAAATTTTTTTTCAATCCTGGATGTAGAGATTATTAGCTGAGTGTGTTTCCATATGGTAAATATCACACATTGAAAATAAATATTGTTATATCTACATTTATTGGGAACGTTAGCCAACAGTTTCTTCACTTTCTGTCTTTGGTAGTGAGCTCCTTATTGAACTATAGGTCTTACTGTAGAGTGTCCTGATGGTGGAGGCTGTACAGTGATGTAAGTGTTCTTGCCTATGTCAGGGATAAACCGTGCAGGAAGTCAGGCAACTGCATATTGCAACGAGACATTATTGTCACTCACATCTTGTCAGTTTTCGCTGAGGTCAAGGATAGTTTTGTGTGACATTGAACCACCCAAGGGGGCTAGTCGGATGATTCATTCCTCTAGCTATTTGAACAATTTAATAATGTATTGGCATTACATGTAGTTTCTTTATATAATTTAATATACATGTTTTATTTAATTAATTATTCCCATTGTGTCTTACTGAATCTTGAATTCACAGAGGCAATATTCCTTATTAAGTAGAGTCCTGGTGTCCTTGATGTTTGTTGGTTCGGTATTTGAATTGAGAGACCCCTTTTAGTTTTAACTTTTAATGGTCAAGGCTAATAACAAGGACATCTGCACTTTCATGCACAATGCTTATTGTTTTTTATGTACTGTATAATATTTTAAAAAATATGTAGCTCATATCATACTTTTCCTAAATTTAACATTGGTCTTATTTTTAGGGTTGGTTTGTCATGAACATGATGAATAGGGCTGCTACATCATGTACATTATTGGGAAGAAATCAATGGACTTCACCATTAGTATGAGGCTGCCCCTAGATACATAAATGTGCGTGAGACTGATAATTGACATTTTAATATCTAATCATGTCTTTCCCTCATGCGGAAACAATTACTAAAGTAATCCATTATTGAAGTGTTAAAGGGACTGACGACATGGACCTACACACTTACCTATAAACTGTAGTCAGACACACCACAAATGTCCACTCAGTTTAATTGTTCCAAACATTTTATGGGAATCTGTTAACATTCTGAGACTTAAGGCACTAGTCCAAAGCCCGAGGTGAGTATAATTCTGTTTGGTCGAGTAAACTCAGCTAATAATGGGGTCACAGTAGACACAATTTGAGGATAACAACTTCTCTAATTACTGTTAAGGCGACCTTTTTGGTATAGATCCTTAAACCGTTTCAAGCGGTTGTCTGCTTGACAGCGGTATAAGGATCTATACCGAAATGCCTCTGAAACAACTTCATGGTGATGTCTCAGTGTTGACATCTCATGTTCATAAATGGTAGGGAGCGGTGTCAATTCTGTCTCGCATGATAGATCAGCTTGGTCTTGAATGCAGCTACTTACATCTCAAATGTTATTTGTTTGTTTGTTGTTTAACACCGCACTCAGCAATATTCCAGCTATATGATGGCGGTCTGTAAATAATTGAGTATGGACCAGACAATCCAGTGATTGATATCATGAGCATCAATCCACGCAATTGGGATAGTATGACATGCATCAACCATGCCAGCGAGCCTGACCACCCGATCCCATTAGTCACCTCTTACGACAAGCATGGTCGCCTTTTACAGCAAGCATGGGTTGCTGAAGACCTATTCTACCCCAGATATTTATGGGTCTACACCTCGTAATGGTTCAGCAGGATGAGTGTGGGCCAGTTCTCCGATCTTGTCTTTACAGGTTGAAAGGCATGGCGTAGTGATGCAGTATAGCCGACAAACACACATTTCCAACACTTTGTTTCATCACGTACACTTTTGCAGTAAGGTTTTCAGTATGTTTCATCTTCTAAAACAAGCGGATTATCTGTAAACACATCCGCATCATGAGTAGACTCACTGCAACTGTAAACACAGTCAAGAACTATTGAGTAGTTTTGATGTTCTCAAGTGCTTTATCTGTAAACACATCCGCATCATGAGTAGACTCACTGCAACTGTAAACACAGTCAAGAACTATTGAGTAGTTTTGATGTTCTCAAGTGCTTTATCTGTAAACACATCCGCATCGTGAGTAGACTCACTGCAACTGTAAACACAGTCAAGAACTATTCAGTAGTTTTGATGTTCTCAAGTGCTTTATCTGTAAACACATCCGCATCGTGAGTAGACTCACTGCAACTGTAAACACAGTCAAGAACTATTCAGTAGTTTTGATGTTCTTAAGTGCTTTATCTGTAAACACATCCGCATCGTGAGTAGACTCACTGCCAATTAGCTGTGAATTGATAATACTAATCTGTTTAAAAGATTATTTTGTTTTATGCATTTTATGTATTTGTAGTGTTTCTCATTCACTCGTTTCATAAGACATATTTCTACTTATGTCATTGAAAGGTTCACATTTACAGTTCACCACGGCCAATCCATCAATGTGGCACTCGTGGTACCAACATCAGAATCCTTTGAACTATGTGTTCAGTGTTCCCAGGACTATCTGCTATTCAAATGTGACGTTCCCCACCCATAACCAATAACAGTACATATGAAAACACTGAAATCTACAGAAACGATGTGAGCTTTAAATTCGGGCAAGTAGACAGAAATGTTTTGGGCACAGACTGAAATTTTAGTGTGTTTTTTGATGATTGGTAACTATAAGTAAAAGATATGATGAAAAATAAAAGCATTATTACAAGTGAAATGTTGGGTCGCATCTGTTACAAGATTATTGCGCTTCAACGTATATAGCGACAGGCATGTACATGTGTGTATAGTACGGACTTGTGCCAGTTTTCTATTACTAGCCTACTGAGATTCCATGCTGCAGTTTAACATAGATACCCAGGTGTGACGCAGCATACTGATTCCTAGCTGACAAGATCTTGTCTTATGTCCTTAGTGTCACAGGCGAGGCAGGGTAACAACAAGTACCGTCTTTTAGCATGTTTGGGTATGATGAGGCCACCCACCTTCCAGATGCTCTGTCCACTAGACCACTGAGGAGGTATCAAAATACCTGTCCTTGTTATCAGTGTTATCACCAGAATTTGTTTGTTTGTTGCACTGTCCGGATTGTGGACATTTGCAGTGCCAACAAACTGCAGACGTAATTCACTGCAGTTGATTGAGGTTTGGATGATAAACTCTGATTTTGAAATCTTATTAAGTTATTTTATACTAGCATACACTTGTCATTTGCCCGGCTGCTGTCAAGTTATCATTGCATATATACCATGTATACAGAAATTAAGAAATTCTCCCAATTGCCCACTGCTATGCAGACAAGGGATCGATTTAGGATTCCTATCTAAATGATACTTTTCTCTGAACATCTCTTATGCGAGGAGATAGAATGACATTTTTTAAGGAGAATCATACTGTATATTGAACTCCAGTTATGGAAATTGATATAACTTCATATGGTCTAGCACAGTCACTCATTATCATGGTTATCCTTTGAATATTGGACACACTAAGAATAGACATAAAATATTACTGATTCTAGTCTCGATCTCCTTACAGGTGTTGGGAATAGCTCTGGGCTAATTCAGAAATAACCCCGATTAAGCAAGTTTCAATTATGTAATATTGAACGGTCGGTAAATAAATCCTTCTAAATTCAGTTAGTGCTTGATGGAACTGTCAACACTACAAACCGAAGGCATTAACTAAGCGTGTGTGGAAATCTATCACCCAGAGATGGGTTTGTGATAGTGTAGACCCTCTCATTGATCAGTCTTTTCATGAAGTGAATAGCAAGTACTGATCACATGTAGAGAATACTTCTACTACATGTAGTACTGATCATTTGAATACTACTAGTACTGACCATGAATTGAGTACTACACCTGGTACTAATCACAAGAATTGAATACTACCGGTACTGATAACATGAATTGAATACTATCAGTACTGATAACATGAATTGAATACTGTATTGATACTGATTACAGAAAGGGAATACTACTGGTATGGATCACTGAAAGTGAATGCTTGTATTAATACTGATTACTGAAAGGGAATACTATTGGTATGGATCACTGAAAGTGAATGCTTGTATTAATACTGATTACTGAAAGGGAATACTATTGGTATGGATCACTGAAAGTGAATGCTTGTATTAATACTGCTCACGGAAAGTCAGCATCAGAAACCATTAGGATGCGTTTTATATCTGCTCAGTCTTGAATTAAGCAGTATAAGGGAGTGACAGACTGGTTGACACCCAGACAATGTTGGCACACAGTAAACACCTACTGATTATAAATTCATGGCATGTCCAGTGTCTGCCCAGCCCAATGTTTACAGGACTCAGACGGGCTGAGTTACATGTGCAGCTGTATTAACATGAAGGGCTGCCTGTGCAGGAGTTCATCCTTGTCCCCTCCATCAGAACTCAGGAGGAATGGCTGCAGTTGGCTTGCTGGTAAATGCAGATTGGAGTATTTTGATTTTAGTATTCGACATTGGAGATATGTTAACACAATGGTAGAAGCAGTATTGCTACTTATAGTGCTGGTATTGAAGATCAATAAATAGCAATTTTGGTATTGAGTTGTGTAACATTTTTTGTTGACATAGTTAATGAATTCCATTATTATTCATGTCATAAATCACTTGTCAGAGATGTTCCTAGTAGTATAAATATTATGCTGCAGGATGACATATGAAGCATGTTAGATGAGGTTATTCAGGAGGCAGCAATGACTGGGAAAGTAAGAGTGACAGCCAACATGTCCAAGGTTTCCTTATCGTGATGAGTGGTTGGTGTGACAGCCAACATGGCCTAGGTTTCCTTATCGTGATGAGTGGTTGGTGGGACAGCCAACATGGCCTAGGTTTCCTTCTCGTGATGAGTGGTTGGTGTGACAGCCAACATGTCTAAGGTTTCTTTATCGTGATGAGATGTGGGTGTGACAGCCAACATGGCCTAGGTTTCCTTCTCGTGATGAGTGGTTGGTGTGACAGCCAACATGTCTAAGGTTTCCTTATCGTGATGAGATGTGGGTGTGACAGCCAACATGGCCTAGGTTTCCTTATCGTGATGAGTGGTTGGTGTGACAGCCGACATGTCTAAGGTTTCCTTATCGTGATGAGTGGTTGGTGTGACAGCCAACATGTCTAAGGTTTCCTTATCGTGATGAGTGGTTGGTGTGACAGCCAACATGGCCTAGGTTTCCTTATCGTGATGAGATGTTGGTGTGACAGCCAACATGTCCAATGTTTCCTTATTGTGATAAGTAGTGGGTGTGACATGAGGTTGAATGATGGACAAATTTGGTGATGGAAGCCAATTTTGAATCAAGGGATTTAGTCTGAAGGCAGCCTCCTGAATGTTGTTTCTCTGATGTTGATTCTCCATCAAGGCAGCCTCCTGAATGTTGTTTCTCTGATGTTGATTCTCCATCAAGGCAGCCTCCTGAATGTTGTTTCTCTGATGTTGATTCTCCATCAAGGCAGCCTCTTGAATGTTGTTTCTCTGATGTTGATTCTCCATCAAGGCAGCCTCTTGAATGTTGTTTCTCTGATGTTGATTCTCCATCAAGGCAGCCTCCTGATTGTTGTTTCTCTGATGTTGATTCTCCATCAAGGCAGCCTCCTGAATGTTGTTTCTCTGATGTTGATTCTCCATCAAGGCAGCCTCTTGAATGTTGTTTCTCTGATGTTGATTCTCCATCAAGGCAGCCTCTTGAATGTTGTTTCTCTGATGTTGATTCTCCATCAAGGCAGCCTCTTGAATGTTGTTTCTCTGATGTTGATTCTCCATCAAGGCAGCCTCCTGAATGTTGTTTCTCTGATGTTGATTCTCAAACAAGGCAGCCTCCTGAATGTTGTTTCTCTGATGTTGATTCTCAAACAAGGCAGCCTCCTGATTGTTGTTTCTCTGATGTTGATTCTCCATCAAGGCAGCCTCCTGAATGTTGTTTCTCTGATGTTGATTCTCAAACAAGGCAGCCTCCTGATTGTTGTTTCTCTGATGTTGATTCTCCATCAAGGCAGCCTCCTGAATGTTGTTTCTCTGATGTTGATTCTCCATCAAGGCAGCCTCTTGAATGTTGTTTCTCTGATGTTGATTCTCCATCAAGGCAGCCTCCTGAATGTTGTTTCTCTGATGTTGATTCTCCATCAAGGCAGCCTCCTGAATGTTGTTTCTCTGATGTTGATTCTCCATCAAGGCAGCCTCCTGAATGTTGTTTCTCTGATGTTGATTCTCCATCAAGGCAGCCTCCTGAATGTTGTTTCTCTTATGCTTCAGATAGAACAAGTTGTTAGATTTATCGCAGAATCTAATGGCCATATGACAACTCTCAAATAATGCCTGTCACTGTCCAGATGTCTTCAGTACAAGAAAATGAAGAGATGTTGGACTGATGGGGGCTGGGTGGGGGAGAAGTCTGTTTTTGGCAATCATTGTTCTCGATATTCTCGTTTATCTGCTGAAAATCAATATATATCAAGTCTGGTGAATATTTCTCAGTAGCCACAGACGCGTTGTAAATGGTCAGTTGTTTGGGACTGGCTGGGGTTATCATTTCCTTTTACGATGGTCAGTCCAATTAACAACCACTGTCAGTTCGTCAGGCTAATCGCGAAAACTGGTATTTTTACAAACTCAATCAATGAGAATAATTTCCGATATTGACAGGCAAGCACTATCACAACCAATACAATTAACATCAGATTTTCATTACTTTTAACAAATGTGATTATTCATGAGGCTAGGACCAATTAGAAGAGCACTGAAGAAGTGAATGTAGTTTGACTGATTCTTTCGGTAGGTCAATTATCTGTTAATCTTTCTGCGTTTACGTCATTTAGTTGATCTTTCCTCTGTGTAGCTGGGGTTCTGTTGGATTCAATTACTCTACAGTGCTTGGAGTGGAGATATTTGTGTACCAAGGTTGCACTGTGGTGTATTGTTGTAGCTGCAGACTGCTATGGAAATGGCAGAGTGTGGAATTTGTTACTATTTTTAGAACTGACTCAGGTTAATACTATAGTTTGAAGTTTGTGCAGAATCTGTGGTAGATGCGTTACTGGTCAGTATACTGGATGTGGACAGCCTTTCTGTCTTTTAGTTTATGATCCCTGTATTGAAATGTTGCCGCAGCAGACCTCAAAGACTACATGATACCATGCAGTTGTAACTCTGTGGCTATAGTACTCTGTGGTCAAAACATTCACGAGCCTCAAGCTTACTCTACTGAAATGAATAATACTTTACTTACAATACAGATTTAGGCTTCTGAGTGGCTTATGTCTCAGGCCGGTATACATTCCTCATAATCAAATACCGGAAGTAATGTCGACATGTTCAATGATTGCTGCCATTATGAATGTATTAAGCTTGTGATGTAGAGCCTGCAGGTTGTCAGGGATGTGTAGTGCAGGCAATACAAGGCCTGGTCAAAAAGTTCTAAGCCTGACTAACTTTCAACTTTGGGCCATAACAAAGTGAACTAGTTAATGTAGTACATTTGTTTTAGTGGTTCATTACAAGTGTATTTGGTCTGTAACATGGTTAAGGCCGTTTTTATATGAGTGACAGCCATTTGAATGTGATAGGGGTCCAAATGGACACAGAAATGGAAAAGAACGAGTACCGAGCAGTCATCAAATTTTTTACTTTAGAGAAAAGTACTGCCCAAGAAATTCATGATCGCATGTCACAAGTTTATGGGGATAAGTGCCCACATAGCTATTCCACTGTTAAATGTTGGGCAGCTGTGTTTAAGCCTGGGAGATCAAGCCTTGTTGATGACCCTAGGTCTGGACGTCCCTCCACTTCCATCAATGAAGATTCAATCAACGAGATAGAAAAACTTTTACTTTCACTCAGATAGATGTATTACCATTGCTTAACTTGAGGAAGACAGAGGTCCAAGCCATGAATCCATTGAAACTATTATTCATGAACATTTCCAGACGAATCAGAAATCTGCATGTTAGGTGCAGACGTTTCTAAATTCTTATCTTAAGTAAAAAAGTACTGACATTGCCAGAGAAAATTTAGAGCAAATTGAGGAGGATTTTGTCAAATTAAAAAAGTAATTAGTAACGGGTGATGAAACATGGGTCTACCACTTATATAAATAATGATCGCAAGTCAAAACGTCAATCAATGGAATGGCAACATTCCACTTCTCTTGCACCAAAGAAATTCAAGTCTCCAAGATCAGTGAAGATTCAGGGGTGCAAAGGGTGTGATCCTTATTTATTCTTTAGAAAGTCGAAAGACCATTACCGATGCCTGCTATGCTGATTTGCTTCATCGCCTGTGAGATACTATCAAAGAAAAGAGGCAAGGAATGCTGACTGATGGAGTTCTTCTGTTTCATGACAATGCCTCTTCTATCACCTGTCGACTTTCAAAGGCACCTGTTTCCTAAACTGAAAAAACACTTTTGTGGAAAACAATATGACAACAATGATGACCTCAAAGCCTGCTGTGAATGGGTTTTTCAGGGTGACGTAAAAAAAAATTCATCCTGACTGGTCTTGAAAAGCTTCACTTTGGATATGAGAAGTGTATTGAAAAGAATGGAGCTTATGTTGAAAAATAAAATTAAGAACACTTTCACAACTGTTGGTTTTGTTTGCTAGGCTTAGATTTGTTTACCAGCCCTTGTTTGCTGTTGTTACACATTGTATCCACCAGTGTTAAGTCTTTCAAGCTGCTCATTCTGTGACCAAGAAACTCAATAATTGCTAAGGATTTTTCACAAATATGTGTATCTTGCTAACCTCTTCAAAATCGATTTGGACAATTTCTCTCGGAAAGAGGATCAATTTGCATCTGTAGTTACAATCATATGACAATAGCATATATTGATTTCTGATCACCATGCTCCAGTGTCTGTGATTGTGGAGTTAGTTGAGCGTCTACAGATGTGTGATGTTTGCCTATCATTCAATGTTGTACCTGCTAATTGCATACTCAGCTAACTTTCATACAAACACACCTCCCAGTGCACAGCAACACACCTCCCAGTGTACAGCAACACACCTCCCAGTGTACAGCAACACACCTCTCTGTATACAACAACACACCTCTCTGTATACAACAACACACCTCCCAGTGTACAGCAACACACCTCCCAGTGCACAGCAACACACCTCCCAGTGTACAGCAACACACCTCCCAGTGTACAGCAACACACCTCTCTGTATACAACAACACACCTCCCTGTATACAGCAACACACCTCCCTGTATACAGCAACACACCTCTCTGTATACAACAACACACCTCCCTGTATACAACAACACACCTCCCAGTGCACAGCAACACACCTCCCAGTGCACAGCAAAACACCTCCCTGTATACAACAACACACCTCCCTGTATACAGCAACACATCTCCCTGTATACAACAACACACCTCTCTGTATACAACAACACACCTCCCAGTATACAGCAACACACCTCCCAGTGTACAGCAACACACCTCCCAGTGTACAGCCACACACCTCCCAGTGTACAGCAACACACCTCCCAGTGTACAGCAACACACCTCCCAGTGTACAGCAACACACCTCCCTGGGTACAGCAACACACCTCCCAGTGTACAGCAACACACCTCCCAGTGTACAGCAACATCTCTCCCTGTGTACAGCAACACACCTCCCTGTATACAGCAACACACCTCCCAGTGTACAGCAACACACCTTCCAGTGTACAGCAACACACCTCCCAGTGTACAGCAACACACCTCCCAGTGTACAGCAACACACCTCCCAGTATACAGCAACACACCTCCCTGTATACAGCAACACACCTTCCAGTGTACAGCAACACACCTCCCAGTGTACAGCAACACACCTTCCAGTGTACAGCAACACACCTCCCAGTGTACAGCAACACACCTTCCAGTGTACAGCAACACACCTCCCAGTGTACAGCAACACACCTCCCAGTGTACAGCAACACACCTCCCAGTATACAGCAACACACCTCCCAGTGTACAGCAACACACCTCTCTGTATACAGCAACACACCTCCCTGTGTACAGCAACACACCTCTCTGTATACAGCAACACACCTCCCAGTGTACAGCAACACCTCTCCCTGTATACAGCAATACACCTCCCTCTATACAGCAACACACCTCCCAGTGTACAGCAACACACCTCCCAGTGTACAGCAACACACCTCCCAGTGTACAGCAACACACCTCCCTGTGTACAGCAACACACCTCCCAGTGTACAGCAACACACCTCCCTGTGTTCAGCAACACACCTCCCAGTGTACAGCAACACACCTCCCTGTGTACAGCAACACCTCTCCCTGTGTACAGCAACACACCTCCCAGTGTACAGCAACACACCTCCCTGTGTACAGCAACACACCTCCCAGTGTACAGCAACACACCTCCCTGTGTACAGCAACACCTCTCCCAGTATACAGCAACACACCTCCCTGTGTACAGCAACACACCTCCCAGTGTACAGCAACACACCTCCCAGTGTACAGCAAAACACCTCCCTGTGTACAGCAACACACCTCCCAGTGTACAGCAACACACCTCCCAGTGTACAGCAACACCTCTCCCTGTGTACAGCAACACACCTCACAGTATACAGCAACACACCTCCCAGTGTACAGCAACACACCTCCCTCTATACAGCAACACACCTCCCAGTATACAGCAACACACCTCACAGTGTACAGCAACACACCTCCCAGTGTACAGCAACACACCTCCCAGTGTACAGCAACACACCTCCCAGTGTACAGCAACACACCTCCCAGTGTACAGCAACACACCTCCCACTGTACAGCAACACACACCCCTGTGTACAGCAACACACCTCCCAGTGCACAGTAACACACCTCCCAGTGTACAGCAACACACCTCACAGTATACAGCAACACACTTCCCTGTGTACAGCAACACACCTCCCAGTGTACAGCAACACACCTCCCTGGGTACAGGAACACACCTCCCAGTATACAGCAACACACCTCACAGTATACAGCAACACACCTCACAGTATACAGCAACACACCTCACAGTATACAGCAACACACCTCCCAGTGTACAGCAACACACCTCCCAGTGTACAGCAACACACTTCCCAGTGTACAGCAACACACTTCCCAGTATACAGCAACACACCTCACAGTATACAGCAACACACCTCCCAGTGTACAGCAACACACCTCCCACTGTACAGCAACACACACCCCTGTGTACAGCAACACACCTCCCAGTGCACAGTAACACACCTCCCAGTGTACAGCAACACACCTCACAGTATACAGCAACACACTTCCCTGTGTACAGCAACACACCTC